CTGCGCATGGCAGATTCACGGACTCCCGTGTGTTACATGCCAGTAAGAGTTCTCCCGCAAAAGCATAAAGCTGTGGGAGGAAGCACAAGGGTAGATTCTGATGACCTCGGATTCTTGGATACGACACCAAAAGCAAGAGCCGCAACGTCACCACAGATCAACCGGACTTCAGGAAAAGTAGAACCTTCCGTGCGTCAAAGGACGTTACCAAGAAAGTGGAAACACAAGTCACAGAACTGGAGAAAATATCTGCAAATCATAGATCTGCTAAGTGTTGAGTCTCCAGAACATATAAAGAACTCTGACAGCTCAGCAGCAAAAGGACCAACGCTCCACTTAAACATGGGCAAAGGACTGAACAGACATTTTTTCCAAAGAAGGTACAGGAACAGCCAAGAAGCAAACACAAGATGCTCAACATCACTGTCCTTGAGGAAATGCAAATCCAGGCAGCAGGGAGCCGCCGCGGCACACCCACCAGGGCCACTGTAGCCCTGCGACAAAACAGACCGGGGAGCAGCAGGCGCTGCCGAGGCCGGGGGAGCCGGGCCCTTGTGAGGGGCGGGGAAGGGCGCAGCCACCGCAGGAGGCGGTTTGCCAGAGCCTCCGGAGGATACACACAGACTACTCGTATAACCCAGCAATTCCACTCCTAGGCATATATGAAAAACAAACAGACGAGAATGAGAGAAATAAAGATAAACCAAAACACAGGTCCGCACAAAGCCTTGCACGCGCATGTTCACAGCAGCGTCCTTCCCAACAGCCGGAAGCTGGAAACAGCCCGTGAGGCCGGCAGCGGCTAAGCACACTGTGGCCTCTGTCAACGGGAGATCATTCAGCCTTAAAAAGGAAGGCCGTCTCGAGACCTGGGGCCCCCGTGATGTCTTATACGGCCATTAGTGTCCTCAAGAGACACCAGAGGACTCTCTGCCCCACGAGGACACAAGCCAGGGACAGAGGGGGCCCCTGGATCTCGGCTCTCCAGCCTCCACAGCTCTGAGAACTAACTGTGTGTCATTTAAGCCTCACAGCCACTGGCACAGTGGCCATGCAGACTAACAGGCCCATAGAGTCAAGCACTAAAGTACCCTCTGCCCTGCATTAACCCCGCTGTCACTCCCGCCCTCTCTCCGGGGCCATTTTCCACGTGGGCCGCTTCAGGGCCCTTCCTCGTGGTCACTGTCGGAAGGGCCTCAAACATCAGCACGTGGCGGGTCCTCTGTGCAGCCACCCCAGGCCCCCGCCGGGCAGGCGGCCCACCCAGGTGGGACTCAAGATGACTCAGAGTTTAAAAGCGTATCAAAGCCTGTGAGATCTTGTAGTGCGTGGTTTTAAAAAGATGTCTTGTGCCTTCTGACAAGTGGCCCTCCTCTTTCATCAGACAGAACAAGGCTTGTTAGGAACGCAGCCTCGGGCGGCAGGGAGGGCTCGCTGCTCCTCCACGGTACCAAGGTGAGTGGAGGGCTCTGAGCGCAGCCCCACAGAGCACAGGCAGGGCCAGGCTGGCGGAGACGGGGCAGTGACTCTGGGCTCCAGAAACTGCTTCCCCTCCCTGCAGAGAGGAGCAGCCAGGTCCTCCCCCGTCCCGGGCTGTGGCAGCAGAGAGGGACAGGCCTGGACTGCGATGTGCCTCCTACCCCCCAGGCAGGCGTCCCCTTCTCCTCCCTAAACCCATCCAGGGCCTCGCCGGTTCCCCAGAGAGCCAGCGTGCCTCCGCCTGCTTTCTCAGCTCACCTCCCCACCCCCCACCCCCCACCCCCCGCCGCGGGTCAGAAATGTCACACATCCCCCCGCCCAGGCTGGCCAGCTCCCAGTGGCTGCTGGTGGCACATCCCTGGGCCTGAATCGAAGATTTAGTCTCCTTGTTGAATGACCAGACTGAATTCAGATCTTAAGAGACCTAATCACCAGAGCACTTTGATAAAATGAAATTTGCTAATCCAGACCTCCAGCAGGAGTGCAGCTGGGGGAGCGCCTGGCAGCCTGCACAGAGGCGTCTGCAGCCCAAGACCCTCCCGGCGCAACTTCACCCTGAAAAGAAGATTCTGGCTCCGCGTCGTGTCGGCCAAGACCCTCCCCAGAGGCCCTGGCTTACCCCTGTCCCTCTCCCCATTGCTGACCCCACCAGCCTTGGGACAGGCTCACTCTGGGCTCGGGGTCTCAGGGAGGACATGTCGAGGCTGGTGTGGCCCATCCTCTCTCACCCTCAGCTCTGTCTAGGGTGACCACTCCAGGACTGAGCCTTGTCCCCTCGTCCTCCACTGTCCTCAGGCCCTACAGCAGAGCTGCATGCAGTGGGGCTGTCCCTTAAAGACCTTAAGAATGAGGAAACAGTGCCCACCGGTCGTGCATAAGGGGTCTTGGAGGACGTGGGGGTTCTGACCAGTGAGTCTGGAGCAGGGACGTGATGTACTCCTCCAGGCATTCCATCATGTCAGCTATCGAGGCTCTGAGAAGTCCTGCAATAGGACGTCTGCCTGGTACCCTTCCTGGCTTCCTCGACCCCAGGTGCCGAGGGAACGCACCGAGGGATTCATCTTTGAGGATCAGGACCAGAGGCACTGATCCTTGTTGGGTGCTGAGCGGGGACATGATGTCAGGCTGAAGGCAAGTCTGAGTGTGTCTGTGTGTGTCTCTGAGTCTGTGTGTGTCTCTGTGTCTGTGCGTGTGTCTCTGTGTCTTTGTGTGTGTCTATGTGTGTCTCTCAGTCTGTGTGTCTCTGTGTCTGTGTGTGTCTCACCGTGTGTGTATACGTGCACACTCTAAAAGGATGACATCTAAATGCTAACAGTTTTTCTGGGTGATGGTGTTCACTGTGGATGGTTTTCTGGTTTATTTTATGATAAACAGATATTTCTTCTGAGCATGTTTTTAAAATAAACACATTCACTAAATTTTTTCTAAAAAGAGAGAAGCTGGGGCCTTGGGCAGTTGACTTCACTTCTGTCCTTAGGAAACACCTTTATTGGTTTGGAACACAGGATTTAAAGTCCAGTGATTCAAGTCCTGCCGTTTGCAAGGGGGAAAAGGAAGGTGCGAAGAAGGAGGAAACAAAGAACCCAGCACCTGGAGTTGTAGGAGATGGTCTATGTGAAACGGAGGAGAAGTGTCCAGCTGGCTGCCGGACCTGGGCGGCCCCCTCCCTGCAGGGCTCCTCCAGGCCAGGGTGGGACGTGGTGAGTGCTCAGGAAGGGTCTGTGAGGTGAGTGGTGGATTGAGGAAGGAGGAGTGGAAGGAAGGGAGGAAGGGAGGCTGGAGGAGGGAAGCAGAGACGAAGGAATAACTCGAGGAAGGCATTAATTAGTGGTCCTCAGGGGCCCTGGGCTTCTCGTTACCATGGAGACAGCCAGGCTGCAGGAGACAGGTGGGCTCAGCCAGCGGCATCGCCATGGTTAAGGAGGGCAGGGCTGAGCCAGAAGCGCTCCCAGCCCCCACCCCACCCCTCCCACCTGTGCCGGAAGTGGTCCTGATAATCCTGGGAGAACAAGTAGAGAACAAGGTGGTGGCAGGGCCTGAGCCAGGGACTCCCCCTCACTCAACACATCCTCCCCCTTATCAAACTCTGGTCTAGTGGGTCCCACTAAACCACCGTCCCCCAGCAATTCACCAAGCCACCTTTCAGCTCTCTCTGAGAGCAACGCCATCCCCCGGAGCCAGCTCTGCAGCAGGGCTGCTCCCAGCCACCCACCTCGGCTCTCCCCACATGCCTAGCCATCCATCTCGGCAACGGGGTGGGGGCCGATGTCAGCCCCTCCCAGGTCCCCACCGGACCCCAGGACGCTCCTCCACACCCAGCACAGAGCAGGCTCATCCAGGCAATCACCCCAGATCCATGGGAAGCGGGAAAGCTCGAGGTAGAGGATGCTAAATATTTAGGAATGACTGGGTGGGGGGAGCGGGGTGGGGGTGGGGGGAACCGCACCGCCACCACCAAATGCGCATTTCTTGGGCGGCCGGCAAGGCGGCTGGCGGCTGGCACCCAGCAGAAGGTGGCACTGGGCCCAGCACACGCAGACGCGGCACAGATTGAGGGCGCCTGCAGGGGCGGGGAGGGGCCCGGCTGCTCTCCTGCTTGGGCTCCGGAGAGGAAAGCAGCTTGCAGGGCAGGACGAGGTGGGTGGCGGGTGCTTGGGGCTCTCCCTGCTGGCTGATCGGCCAGCTCCTGGCAAGCCGACCCACCTACAGCCTGCGTGGCTCCTTGTCAGACCCAGGAGCTTCCTACCTGCACGGGGTCCTGGCACCAGAGTCCAGTCCTACCGGTCGGCCCCTCGAACCCTGTCCAGTGCCCCTTTCCGGAACAGGTTGGCAGCAACGGGCAGCGTGATGGTGAGGATGGACACCTTCACCCTTCAGCCAGTGGTCTGGATCCTTTTCCTTCTTTTCCAGGTCCCATCACCTGCCTCCTGCCGCTCCCAGTAGCCCGCGGCCCGCCCTGCGGGGCGCCAGCACGCTCTGGGCCGGGCTTGGGAGATGCCACCGCGGGGGGTGCTCCCCTTCTGCGGAGGGAGCCGGCGCGTCTCCGCCCGCCGCCCGCCGCCCTCCCGCCGCAGCTGCCGCCTCGCTGGGGAGGATGCTCAGAGCTGCGCAGGGCCCGCGCCGACTCGGCCTCCCCGCACACCACGGAACTTGCCGGCAGAGGCAAAAACAAGCGCATTAAATCTTCCCTGGGAGGCTCTTTGATCCCCCCGCCCCCGCAGACCTGCTTTTCTCCTGCTCCTCGCCATTCAGGCAGTCCCTTCCTGTCAATTAACCAGAGCGCGGGGGGGGGCATTCATGGCTCCAAACCCCAAAGTCTATTTGGCCCGGCCCGGCCCAGCCCAGCATTCAGTACTGGGGATGCTTACTCTGCAGACGGGGTCCCCTAACCCTCCCGATCCGGTCCATCGGGGGAGGCCCGCTGACGGCCTGATGACAACAGTGCACCTCGCCGGCTACTCCGGGGCCAGCACTGAGCTGAGGGACACCTCACACATGTCCCGCTGGCTTCCTGAGGGTTCTGACCCATTCTATGACGGGGCTCTGTTCAATCAATGAGTGTGTAATCACACCCATCCATGGAGGCCTTTGGGCAGAGGAGGGCACAGCTCCGCACAGAGCCTGGCGACCATGCCTGGCTTGGTGGCCAGGAAATGAGGGAGATGGCGGGGAGGGCAACATGGCCCTCTGGATGGGGTGCCCACTCCTTTTCCCTCTCTGCCTCCCCAGAGCTAAGGCCCCGGTGCAACGCTGTCCCTCCTGCTCTGATGTCGAGTGTAATTTCCAGAAAAGCAGCTCACTGCCCAACGTGCAGCTCCACCAAGGCATCTGGGCCCCGCTGCAGGCTGGGCTCCAGCTGTGGGGCAGGAGCCCTGAGAGGTGCAGGAATGCCCATCCCTTCCTGGCTGGCCTCCAGTCAGGCCTCAGCAGCAATCTAAGGGACTTTTTAAAAATGCAAATCCTACCCAGGCTTTCCTGGGCTCAGAAGACTTTGTCAGGGAGGGTGGCTGGAGGGTCC